TTCACATATTTTTCGAATTAAGTATTGTTTTCGTGAGTAACAGTATATCAGTAGTATGAGATGTATTCACTCAATTTCGTTTAATCTGATGAAGGACTGGAAGAAGAAGAATTTTCCCACAATGACATGAGTTGAGCTGACGTTTCCGTTCAATTTCACATGACTTTGCTTGCCCAAAAGTTGTTCTCATCTCGGCCTCGCCGCCCCCCCCCCACTCCCCGACAGTGTACCGCAAAACTAGCCGCATGTGGTAGTCAATCAGACCACTTTGGCATTGGATTGCGGAGCCGTATCGGGTGACTGCTTCTGGCCAGCAGCAGGCGCTGGCCGAAAACATGTCCACTTTGGTACATCTCGGCTCAAGTGTGCAATGGAGGCAGCCGACGTGCAGGCGGCGATCAAGTGGAGAAAGCAGAGTGCTCGATGCGTGCAATTGGGTCTAAAATGAGGATTCATTGGCAATTGACTTGAGGCTTGGCGCAGACACAAGATCGATTCAAGTGGAAATGAATGGATCTGAAAATTAGGCTGCTGCAAAATGAAATGGAACTTAGCCCAAGCCGAAGCAGGGCGATATTACGGCTAGAATGGCGATCGCCTGTCGGCCGAGTGGAGCATCGGCTGCTGGCAGAGAAGAGTGTCATTACGATGCCAAAATGCAGGTGAACAGACAGACAAAGCAACCGCCAAGCATGCAAGCATGCATGCATCCAGACAGAGGGATAGAGCGCTTGCAGAACTGTCATATCAGCGAGTGGGTGATCAGATTAAACGGTAGACAAAAGCATGAACAGATAGATGGATACATAAACTGGTAGAAAAACATATAAATATATATATCTATCTATCTATAGAAAGAGAGAGAGAGAGATGGTAAGATAGAGACATAAGCAAGTTGAAGGAAACAGATAGATGGATATATCGAATGATAGATTAACAAATATACAAACAGACATAAAGGCAGAAGCCTATAAAAGTAAATACAGTGATGGCTAGATAGATATATGGAGCTGATGAGAAATTTAGACTGAAAGATAGCTAAATAAAGTGAAAAATATAGAAGGATAGGTAGACAGCTATAGAGTAAAAGAGTTATTAATAAAACAAAAATATATAGATATTTAGATAGATATTTACTTGAAAGATAGCTAGTAAGGTAGAGGGATATACAGACAGACAGATAGCTAAATGGATAGTTAGATGGACGAAGAAATATACAGATAGAAAGATAAATAGATGGATAGTCAGGTAGGTCGATGGTGAGGTAGTTAGAGATATGAATACATACATACAAAGATATATATATACGAATATACCTATCTATCTATCTATCTATCTATCTAGATGGATGTATTGATAGAAGGATAGATAGATGGATAGAATGATAGATAGATGGATAGATTAATTGATAGATCGCTAGATAGGTGGATAGATAGATAGATAGATTGATTGATTGATGGATATATATATAGATAGATAGGTGGATAGATAGATAGATAAATAAATAAATGGGTGGATGGATGGATGGATAGATAGATAGATAGATAGATAGATAGATAGATAGATAGATAGATAGATAGATAGATAGATAGATAGATTCATAGTTAGTTGCATAGACAGATTGATAGGTAGAGAAAGAGAGAAGGGATCGACAGTCTGATAGACGAGTGTGGAGATAATCAGCAGATGAACAAAATGCAACTTGGCGAGGTACATAACAGCTGAATGAATGGATAAATGAGTAACTGAATTGCCTGCCGGCAGTTGGAACGATTGACTGGTTGAGTGAATGATTAACCTGCCCATTTAGTGGCTGTGGAGGTCGGATTAGCCTTCCGGATGACTGATAACTTGATGAGATGATCCAATGACTGAATAAGTGATCCACTGATGCTCGGATCATCTGACGGACTGACTGACTGACAGGTTTAGACACCGACCGGTTGAATGTTCAATTGTGCGATTGATTGAAAAGTTGACTAGTTTAAGAAATGGATGATTAGCTGATAGGTTAGCCAAGTGGTGGAGTGCTTAATGTATTGCATAATGTGCCAAATGAAATGTTAACTTGATGTGAGCTTGAACGATTGCATGATTTGGTGACCGATTGAATAATTGACTGGCTGACTGATTGGTTGAGCCATTGTATCACCGATTGCATGACTCATTAGTTGACTTATTCACTTATTTACTGATTGCATCATCTGTCAATTGAATACTTTAGTGAGTAACAATGCACCATCTACTGGGAGTCTATTAATGCAGCCCAGCGACTGATCCAACCAATAAGTTAATCAACGAATGACCCAATTCTTAGCTGGCGTTTGGACGAAATATTGGAATAAATCATTCAATCAACAAGTCATTGCTTTTCTGCCTAACTTGACGCGAGCTATGCAAAAGCGTTGGCTGAAAGCCAGTCAAGCGTGACCATGCACAAGAGCCCATTTCCACTTTCTCCGAACGAACTCTTCTGCCCATTTGACGAGTTGCCGCGTAATTGGCACACAACGCCGCTTGTCGAAGCTCGACAAACTCACTCATGCATGCCATAAATTGGCATTAAGTGTGCACCGAAAGCAATGCCGTCTCAGTGAGTCGATGTGAAGATGTGCTGCCGTGAGCCGTGTCCTGGCGACGGCCAGACCCGTCCAGAGGCCGGCTTCACGGATGACCTGTGCTGAACGAATCTGGTACCATCGGCCACGGAGACTGTCTCCGGGCGAGGACACGGCGAGGAGTCTGGCCGCAAACACGACGAGTTGCAAAGTTTGTGGGTGAGACGCGAGGGTGGGTGGGCCGGTGGTGTGATGACCAAGTGGGCGAGCAGAAGGGGGCCAGCGATGTGGAGGTGGATGGTAGGAAATTGGATATACGGCCGTGCAAGCAGACAGGAATGTCTGGCAAGTCTGTCATATTGTGGCCGCCTTGTTGCCTGGGTGATCGGGTGTGGTGGTATGGCCACAAGCGAGATAGCTGGACAGATGGGTCTGTGGATTGATGGACAGATGATAGCTAGATGCAGAGGATTGGGAGATTAGACCGACAGGGTGGTGGTATTTCGGGGGTTATGTATGAGAAATGTGGACAATCGGGTGAGAAAGGAGGTGGATAGATAGACTATAAACAAGCAGGAATTTCGAATGAAAACACACTGATGGATAGATAGACTCAGGCAAGGTGGTGGGTAGATAGATAGGCTAAGAAAGTAGAAGTGGAGCAGGAGAGAAAGTGGTTTGGTGGGCCTGCCGTTGACCAGACGAATTCGCAAACTATTCGGTTTTGACGTCTGTGAATGTTAGTGAGTAGGTCAATTAAATGTTAGTCGCTTAGTAACGGAAACTGTCCAGTCAGGCTTATGGTATGCCGGAGAGTGGTTGTGCCATTTTGTGTGGAAATATGTGTTCAGGTGAGCATGAATGTGGGTACGTCGGTAGGTGGGCGCGTATGTGAACCAGCCGGAATGGGGGTAGTCTCGTTTGAGTTGTGTGGATGGCTGGAGTAGACAGCTTGTGGATAGCCAGACATGGGGGGGGGGAAAGAAGAGTAATAGGCTGGGAGTTGGGACTTGGGTGGGAAACTTGACAGCCAGGCAAGTGGGCATGTGAGCAGAAAGGTGGGTCGTTGTGTTGGCTGATTGATGCGCATGTGTAGGCGGACAAGTAGAAAAGAAGGTGAGAAGATAGATG